GGTTGTTAACAAGTACTTCATCTCTTATGTACCGCTCACATAGCCTCTCCATGGTTTTTAAGAAAAACGATGTGAGACTTATTGGTTGGAATGCTTTTGGTAGGGTGTAGTCCATCCTACCTGGTTTGGGTATAAATACTACTCTTACTTCTCTCCACTTACTGGGAATATACCTCAGAGCTAGAGAGGCTCTGAATATTCCAACCAGGTGTGGCATAAGAGTGTCCAGCCCCCCTGAAGTAGGGCTGGTCTTATACCGTCAGGCCCTGGTGACTTGAAGAGGGAAAAGCTCGATATAGCCCATCTTATTTTGTCCTCATCAATTACTGTACTAGCATATTGCCAGTCATATTGTGAGGGTGTTATTGGTACATCCGTCCAGTTCGCCATTCCAGAAAAGACAGAACCTGGGAAGTGAGTTTCCATAAGAATCTCAGCACTCTCCTGGAGGTTTGTCGCCATTTTCCCTCGTCAGGATGCCGATAGTCTTATGGTGGTCATTTGAGAGTGCCTTCTGTAGCCTAGAAGAAATGAGGGTGCTGCAAACAGCTTCTTCGACCCAGAACCTGTCATTGGCATCGCTTTAGGCTTTGCCAAACAAACACTGAACACCTGGATGGCAAAAAGAGTCATAGACTTCTAGCAGAATCTTCCAGGATTGGCTTACTCCAAGGCGTTTATTCACCCTTCGAATCTTGATTCCAAACAGTTGTTGGACTACAGTAGGGATGAACTACGATGTCACTTTCACTTGAATCATCACATGCAGAGACTTGGACTGTCGGAAGACAGTGCGTGTCGCCTCTGTCTGGAAAATGATGAACCTGCAGAGCATATACTTTGTGCCTGCCCCGCTGGGACCGAATCAGGTTCTTTGAGTTCGGCAGATCCGTACTCTCACCATCTGACCTGAAAGACCACTCACCATACAAACTAATCGGCTTTGTTAAGAAGCTGGGTTCATATGGCCGAGTGTGAATAGGTGTGAGCCACTATGAACCCTTATGGGTTGCGGTGGAGGGTCGAATAGACCCACTCACTTTAGACTTACCTACCTACCTACTCCGTAGGTTCTGGTAAATGCCTGCCGGAAAACAACTACTTTCCCGGCTAATCTGTTTAAATCTGTTTTTCCTTTAACCAGCTGTCGCATCCCTACGAACGACAACCCTCAGAAGCCGAACCTTGTGCGAGCCAAGGATTAACGAGGTCTTACCTTTTAACGTGTGATTCCTAACAGTGATACCACACTGATAATGCATTATATTTGACAGACATTTATGCAAGATATCTCAAAGAGGTCAGCCTTGCAGATGTTTCTCGTTCATCCAGCTATGCTGAAATTATTCGAGTAGGTCTCTTTCTAGCCGGTTTCGAGGTATAACCTATCATCAGTGCAGGAAAGATCCAACTCAACGCGGTTCAACTGCATGTATGAAACCTTCTTCTAAGAGAAAGATTGTTAACTAGTAATGGCTCCATCTCGTGAACGACACCCTGCGCAGGGAAGAAACATCCCATTTACCAATACTCTAACAGAGTCCAACGATTATGGACATACAGGATTGCTTACTTACATACTTACTTACATATCGCCAAGTTAAACAAGCGCCGAGCAGATGTGACGTAACACTGGTGACAGTTTTAGTAGCTGCCATAAGACTGTGTGTTATTTTAACATTTTTTGAGGATTATTTTCGGACAGTTGTTTTTGTTCATTTTGATTAAATTTTTATTCAACTATACCAATTAGGTTTCTGAAACATTGAGTTTGTTATTGTGAAATAAGTAATCGTTATGTTTGTGCCTGAATCCACCTGAGGTGTTGAGAAAAATCTCTATACACTGAGTTATAGGATTTAAACTCAACATAAGACTCTAGTCGATTAAAATTTTCATTTCAAGAAATAAGAATAATAATAATTAGAAATTTATTTACTTAACAAAACTTAACAAAACCAAAAATATTCTAGACCAAGTTACTTAACGATGTTTCGATTATCATCAACGTATTCGTATGATGACTGAACTATTCCTCCGAGAGATGACTATTTGAAGGTCATTCGAGTGCTTTCACCTATTCTCTATTTTCTCTCTCCGTTTCACCAGTTTATAGCGGAAGATGATCGTTTCGTGGGAGTTGGCCGTTTTTCGATTGATTATGGGTTTCCATATTTTGCGTATCTCTACGCTAGCTTGACTGCATACATTTTTGAATAACATTTATGCGGTATTTCTTGTGCTCGGCATTGCGAACTTTCAATGGCCCCTTAGATTCAACGATTCAACTTTTAGCCAAAGTCTGCTCCACTATCACTTTGGAGTAACCTTTCCGTTGAAGATCTTTTTTAATGATGCCTTATTCCTTCTCGAATAGTCCAGTCATCGCCCGAAGACGATTATTGATACTAACAATCGAATCGTCGTGAAGTGACTTGATTTGGTTTTATTTTTTTTCACCGTAGTGTGCGCTGGTCAGGCCCTATCCCCCGAAGCCCCGATACATTCGGGAGGGCGTGCCAGCATTATTAACCAATGACAACTCCACACACACCGTGGGATAAGTGATCATTGGATCCGAGAATCATGTGCCCTGAGCAAGCGCAGTGAGCCAAGAATGACAGCCTTTAAGGCTCTCTCTTAGCCCATGCGTCCACTCAAAGCGTCTGTTCTCATTGCCAGGGTTGTCATCGGAAGGCAAATTATTGTTATGGACCCTACCACCTTGCCTCTGACCCCTCCGAGCACCGAAGAGAGAGTAGAGTTTCTCTTCCCGGGTGGCCTGGGCTGCCAGTCCGGTTTTGCACCAGTTGCTCGGGTAAGTGGTGTCGCAACTCATCAAAGGCCAAGGGTGTTAGTGGCCATCCCTGCTTATACTTATTTTTATTCTTTTATATCTTTCTACTCTGTGCTCATTTTCATCATTCATCTTGATTATTTCATTTTATTCATTTTACAGCTTATATATAATGTAAACAAACATGTGTACCAACTGTTGGTGATGAAATATTTCATTTGTTGAAAACTCAATATACATATATATAATATAATGATACTATATCTTGAAAACAAGAGCTTATATATAATTTTTATGGTCACTTTCGGTTTTAACACGTGAAAATACATTAAAATCATCTAATTTCAACCCCGAAACAAAAACTTTGTTGTGTTGTATAATTGATATTTTGGCTTTTCATTATAATTTTAATTGTTCTTTCATAAATTGCCGATCATATTAGAATTATATTAGACAATGGAAGTCCGAATACATTGTCAACCATCTTCGAACAAATGTTGAAAGTGGAAAGAATAGTTGAAATTACCAGTCCAACTGTACCTATGTATGATTATAATCATGGATAGTCTTATATTGTGTATCTATTATCGATAAATATAGCCTTTCACAGCATGTAATCTAAATGCTAAATGAATATATTCGATGATAATACAGATTCAAAATGCAGGGACAGAGCGGTTGTAGAGGTACCGGCCGGGAGGGGGGGGGGATCGGCGCGTGCTTATAATTAGCGCGTCTCGAAGGCCGAACTCCGCCTATATCACTTAATAATTGGGAGCGATCGCAAGCATTTATATGTATATTTAGTATCAGCATTACACCCGTGCGGAGTCGGAGCAACGTGAAAGGAGCTGGCTTCTGAATTATTTTTGAACTCACCCCCTGGATACTAGAGGCGTCTGCAGATAATCTGGAACAAAGGGATCCCACTCCGTTGGCTTTGTCGTCAAAAAATCCAATTTCCTGGACCAACATGGCCCGAAACATTTGACTACGAATTCTTTCTGTCATTCTCTCTCCGGCTATACCGAACATGTATGTCTGAAGTTTAAGGTATCCGTTGAAATCTATTGTTATTGCAAATTATGTGCACTTACCAGCAGGAAATTACATACCGCAGCCATAAAGCCAATACAAACAAAAAATAAGCAATATTTGTTAGTTTCTGACCTCACATAGTCATCATCGCTACTGGCTAAGGTCTGTAAAAAAGTGTTGTTATGAAATGCTACGGAAACAAGATTTTTGTGGAATATATCGTAAGTTAAAAGAGGTGTATTTTTAGGAGAGATTGATTTTTGGGGAAGAAAGGTTGTGGCTTTGTAGGTACCCATTGAATTACATAAAAATATTCGAAACAACTACTTTTGTATGAACATTGAAATATACAGAAAAACAAATTTTTCCTATTCAGTTTGTATCTCAAACATTTTATGAAATTGAATCAGATATCATTCACAGGATTGTTACATACTATAGAGATAAAATTTCACTCATATGGAACACTGCCATCCTCAATGGCAGGTATTCGATGTTTCGAGATAAGACACTTGCCTCTTCAACACCAATCTGGATAATATTCATGAATAGATTCCATCCAGAAAAGAGCCATATGCCTGATTGGAGACATGAACATCACTTGCAACCTCAATAGTCTGGAACATCGAAGAAAGGTTGGAGATTTGTCTCTCTTCTGTAGATACCTTTACGGGAAGTGTTCAAGTGACTTGGAACATTTGATTCAACCAAGAGCGGTACATATCAGAAATTTCGACGGACTGTGGCTGCTCATCGTTTTGAGGTTCAACTCAATACACCTCGCACGTCACTGTTTAAGAACTCTTTCATTTGGAGGATTGCGTTTATGTGGAATAAACTTCCTGAGAACGTTTTTCTAAATGGATTCAATCTCCAGCGATTCCTATGGCTAAAATTCAATCAAATAAGCGAATGAATGTAATTTTTTGTCAAGGACAAAACACAAACAAAACTACACGAAAATCTTTAAGGTGCTCTAAGAGCGGTGCTTGTGCAGAAGTAGCGATTTACATTGGATTTGAGTCGCAGGTGACTGAATCCATTTGGAAAAACGTTCCCAGAAAGTTTATTCCACATAAATGCAGTTCTCCAAATGAAAGAGTTCTTAAACAGTGAAGTTCGAGGTGTACTGAGTTAAACTTCAAAGCGATGAGCAGCCACAATCCGTTGCGAATTTCTGATATGTGCTATTGGTGGAATCAAATATACCAAGTCACTTGAACACCTTCCTCGAAAGTATCTATGGAAGAGAGACACATCTCCAACCTTTCTTCAATGTTCCAGATTATCAAGGTTGCGAGTGATGTTCCGTCTCCAATCAGGCGGATGGTTCTTTTCTGGATGGGATCCAGCAGCTTCAGGGTATGCTTAGAGATAGAGCTCCATACATGAGAACAATACTCCAAAGAAGGTCTGATCTGAGCTTTATATAGCATTAAAAGTTGCTGAGGTGTGTACAGTTTCCTAGTTAGGAACAGTGTTCCAAGCTTTTGAGAAGCAGACCTTGCAATTTCAGCGTCCTGATTGTACCAAGACATACTGGTGTCCATTTTAACCCCCAACAAACTTATCGAAGCAGAAAGCGGAATTATCTGTCCTGGCATTATTATATCCGGTTCGGAAATAGAATGCTATAGAATGTTGCGCTAATAGACATGATTTCTTATTAAGCTTTATATCACTTTCATGTGAAGTTATTCTATCTTTAAGGATTCTAGATGTTCCAATATAATCCAAATTACAATTGTTACAGGGAATGTTCTAAATCACATTTGACTTTTTTATAAAAGTGATATAAAGCTTGATAAGAATTCATGTGCATTAGCGCAACATTGTATAGAAACAGGACATAAACCAAATTACTCTAATATCAAAGTTTTACACACAGAAAAAAATATTTCCAAACGCCTTTTTCTTGAAATGGTTGAAATTAATAAGTTTTCTAATTGTATGGATAAGAGAACTGACATTGATAATCTCAGCAGTATATACAGTAATTTACTGAAACTACACCAAAAATCATAATGATAATTGTATCAATCAACTTTCCCTTCAGAGTCAAAGATTATCAAATCATCATGCTCATTGAAAAATAACATTTATGTGAAGGAATGACATTTGTCAAACCAAAAAAATCCATTAATGTTCAACTTTCTTTCGCCGATTTATATGTTCAATTCATTGTTATTCACTCATTTTTACTGTGAGTATGATTTGATTCATTGGCAAAAAAACCCACAATTTAATAAATTATAGGCCCTGAAGAAGCTTTTCCACTAGAAACGAAAGCTTGGCAAAGTAAAGCAGAGTTTTGATTTTTGATTTTTTGACTGAGAGACCCCTCATTTCCATTTTACTGTACATTCCTCCAGTCGCTAAGATTCTCAACATACCAGCTTTGATGATAAAAGTGTTAGAGAAATATCCATCGATGGTCACTTGCATGGAACATTTTTTCAGGAAGCTGCAGAGCCATACACAAAAATGATCCGATAAGCCATAGCATCGAAGTTTGGCCAGCAAACCCTCATGCCATACACGGTCAAAGACCTTAGAAATATCAAGCGCAACAGCTCTTGACTCTCCATGTTTCTCGATTGCGTTATTTCAAATATAGGTGACGTAAGATAGAAGGTCGCCTGTTGATCTTTGTTTCCGAAAGCCATATTGATGATCGCTCAAGATGTTGAAGCCTTCCAAATATTTAAGGATATGGTGTTTCAGACTTCCTCCATGATTTTTTATATCACTGAAAGCAAAGCGACTGATCTTTAGTTGTCTATAGTTGTCTTGCTTGTAGGAGCGGTTGAAAAGTCTGCAAAATACTGGTGCGAGTTCATTTGCGCACTTTTCAAGTACGATGACGGACACTTCATCAGGACCAGACGCCTTGTTGATATTGAGCTGTTTCAAAATTCGCCTGACTAGACGTTGTCGAAAAGTAATTTCTGGCATTGTGGACTCTAGTGTGGATTACGTATTGTCATCCATGACATTGGTAGATTTACCTTATTCGTGACATCAACTCGTAATTTTATAAATGAATTGAGTACTTCATCTTGTAATGTGTCATTAATGCATCTTCTTAACTACCAGAAGTGCAACTCCTGAACACGCCAACAGTATTGCATTTCTGGAAATTCATTCCACGCTAGCGGTTTCAGGTTCACCTTCCGTTATGAAAAAAAATCTCAATCATCACAAATAACAACATTTTATTTCAATTGTTCCCATCCATAGAAATATATTTGTGAAGAAGTGTTATTGATGTATTCAATTTCTTCTTTTCTTTCCACTTTCTTGAGTAAAAGCCAAGAATGTTTTCACGCAATCAATCTATATTATATTGAACATACCAGACTCTATATAAATATATGATATAACGCATATTCGACTTCAAAGTAACTTCATTAAAAGCAAACTTACCCCTAAGATGCTTCCGAACAGCACGGAGAAAAGAGGCATAGTAGTTCCTAAAACAGCAGATCCTGTACTACCTATAAGAAGTTGTAACCACTCAGGTGAGTTCATTTTAAGTATTCCAATCAAAGACAAGTCAGTTTCATTTTCTTGTATCTCTTCATCAGCAATCTAAAAACAAGAAAGAGGTTTAAATGGAAAGGGGTATACTGTTATTAGAAGTAGAAATTCGAAATATTTGTTTCCCAAATCTGTTCTCATGACAATCCTCAGAAGTCAAAACCTGTGAAAGATAAGGAATAATGAGGTCTTATATTTTAATGTGCTTTTTGTATCATGAATTTGACGATACGCAGTGAAAATCGATCTTTTGTCCGTCGGGAGAATTAAAACGAAACACTCAAGCTAATCAACTTGTTACCGTCCCATCGATAGACCGGTTTCGGAGTACTTGCTCCCGATCAGTACCAGAAAGGTCATTTCAGATGGAATGAACCGTCTGATCGGCCCGACCAAATGAAATTAATTTCTGCTTTTCATATATAGAAAGTTACTTGCGACGAATCTTCCAAATGGAAGACTTTCTGCACGGCATTAGCTGCGTTATTTGTTGTTTTCCCGTCGGGTATCTGACACACATACCTACAAAGTCGTAGGTTCACATGTGCTTTCCTCAAAAAAGTATGGCCCTATTATCTGGTTGTTCAAAATCCCGGCCCAAACATTCACTTTTTGGAGCAGTGAATTCCAGGTTTCAAAAACGGAAAAGGAATGTTTTGTGAGCAAAATTAATGAGAATACTTTTTGGAGTGAATTTTTCAGTTTGCCATTTCACTACACTCCAGCAGATTCTCTATTTATTCAACATTCATTTTTTTTTCCGATTGTGGAAGGTTATAAACCCAAAAAATAACAATATGGAATATTGAGTCTTCCAAAAATGAATGTCTTTTAAAGGATATAAAACTGTATGTCGCATACAAACATTTGTTTCGCAAATAGTCCCCCTACCCCTCATTTGTTCACTATTTATATTTTATCAAACTGCTACATGTTATACTTCTCTGTGAATAAATTATTATTATCGTTACAAACGATTCCAATATCACCTTCAATAAATCCGTAACTCACTGTTTTTCCATGTATGGCTGGATCAATTTTATCGTCTTCGTCGACTTCTATGATTTTCTTTCCATCTCCGGATTGTTGAGCAGCTTCGGACCCTCTAACCTGAGCCATAACGAGGCCGTGGTATTCCTTTTCCAATGCCATCAGTTCTTCGTGAGTTCCTTGCTCAACAACGACTCCTTTAGAGAAAACAATAATTTTGTTTGCCCCTCTAATTGTAGAAAGGCGGTGAGCTACGATGATAGTAGTATAACCGGCACTTGCCTAGAAGGAGTTTTTGATATTGAAATGTAATCTGAAGTACTATTTCACACTTCAACTTACCGAATCCAAAGCTGCCTGAACTTTAGCTTCACTGGTATAATCCAAGGCCGAGGTAGCTTCATCCAGCAATAATATAGATGGATTTCCGACTAAAGCTCTGGCAATGGCGATCCTCTGTTTCTGACCTCCAGATAACTGTGCCCCTCTCTCTCCCACCAGAGTGTTGTATCCATTGGGGAGGGCCGATATGAAAGTATGGGCGTTTGCCTTTTTAGCAGCCGCGATGACATCTTCTTCAGTTGCCTTCAGATTACCATATTTGATGTTCTCCATTATGGAGATTCCAAAAAGGACTGGTTCTTGACCAACTGTGCCAATGTTACCCCTGAACCATGTGAGGTCTAGATCCTTGATGTTTTTTCCATCGACACTGATCTGGAATTCAGGAAAGGAAAGTTTCATTTTCAATTATAATGCAATTATTTTTCCAGATGATCAGATGACAGATGATCTTCACAAATTGATGCACGGGCTTCCCATAAGTGTTGTCAGAAATAAAATTGTTTTGTCTTCAGCTGATACAAGAGGGCTATGAAATTTCAATTCTGTAATGAATTTCATCGTCAGCTATAAATGGAATAGTATTTTCTACTCACCTCTCCAGAAACGGGGTCATAAAATCTCTGAATGAGTTGAATGACGGTAGATTTTCCACATCCGGAGCTACCAACTAAAGCAACGGTATCTCCTTGGTTTATTTCCAGGTTGAGTCCTTGAAGAATCTGAAATTGAAGTCTGTGTTATTGAATGAAACATCAAGATAATCGTTCAAACACCGACAAGTGAAGCAACATCGAACCATTCTTTTGAAGCCACAATCCGCAGCGAATTGGAAAGGCTGCAGATTTGAGATATTTTCAGTGGATTCATTCAGTTCTTGGTATCAACGTAACAACGAGGGGTGATCATAATTTTTTGATTTATTTTATATGATATTGAGTTGCCGATGGGTCCCTTTACCTGTAGATACTACTTATTCGAAGGGCAGTATTATTATTATCATTATTACTATTTTACATTTATTCCATAATCATGCTGCACATGGTAACAAAATTCGAATATAATGCACATCAATACCTGCAAACAACATCATCAGTAGAGAAAACAAAATTCGTACTGGTAGGAAATGGTCGAATGAAACTAGTAGTATAGTCGAAGTAACCGATATAGTAATCTTAACGATATCGGCGAACTCAAAGGCCAAAAAAACCAACACAAAGAACTAATGCCGCTAGGAATTAGTCCACGTGGACTGAAGAACTGGCGATTCGTATTGGATAATTTTTACTAACCGAGTTTTATGATTGGCCGAAGAGTCATAAAATTAAATTTGAAGTCATG